TCTGTCTATCTGCCTGTACACCCATCCATCCATCACCCATCCATCCATCTATCCCGACACCCATCCATCCATCCATCATCCATCCATTATTCATCCATCTGTCTCTACACCTATCCATCCATCACCCATCCATCCATCATCCATCCATCCATCCGTCCCTACACCCATCCATCATCCATCCATCTGTCTCTACACCCATCCATCCATCCATCATCCATCCATCTGTCCATCCATCCAGCCCTTCAGATCTCAGTGTTTCCACCTGTTTCTGTCCCCCATCATTGTTCCCCCAAAACGATGACTGCTTACGATTGTAGGCCCCTTCCCATGAACATTTCCAAGAGCACTGTATCAGTATTAGTGAAGGCTCTTTCAGTGACAAGTGACAGAAAATCTAACTCAAATTGGCTTCAGCAAAAGCCAAAGAACAAAGAAGAAGAAAACCAACCCGAAAAGGATGGGAAAGGTCTGAGGATGTCCTGGCTCCTGGCTGTGGCTGGAGTCCAAGTGCCACCCCAGGTGGCCCATTACCAGGTCCCATCGAGGGCAGGAAGACTGCAGCAGCCCAGCCCATCTCCTTCCAGCAGGGCGACACAGAGGGCAAGAGCTAGATGGACAGAGAGCAAGCGGGAGACGGGCTTGGATCCAGCAGACCTGCCAAAGTCTGAGTGGTCCGAGGTAGAGCCTTGAGCTGTTGTAGAAGAAAGTGGGCACCAGGTGGCTTCAAAGGCAGGTGGAGCCAGCCACCTGGAGCATCAGGAGCCAGTGCACGCAGGCCTGGTGAGGCTGGATGGGGGGCAGAGACTGGGCCCCCAAAGGCAGGATGGACCACACTCTAGTGTGCCATGCACACCCTGAACCCAGTGAGAGCAGAATCGGGACTTTTACATTTTAGCTTTGTCTCTAAGTTGCATGCGCCCATGCCCTGGTCTCTTTCTCACCTTGTTGTCTCTCCTGAAATTAGAACCTAGAACTCAAAGCGGGCAGGCCTTCTCCCGAATGTCTCTCAGAGGAAAAAAGAAAGCTTTCAAGGTACTATTTGCATGGATTCAGTAAGATGAGCAGGCAAAAGAGACAGTTCATTCACTTGACAGTTGTTTCATCAGGCTCTTTGAAGTAGAAATATAATTTTCTTTTGCTCAGAATCAATTTGGCACTAGAGGCTCCCATAATTTGATTCCATCAATCATGCACTTTAATCTAGATGCCGTGGGGACTTGAGTTAGGCAGAACTCCCAGTGCAAACGTTTGTAGAGCTGTATGCACATGTTCAAACCAATCTTCTCATGTGTGCCTGGATTTCTCCATTGGAAAATAGAGAAAAGTACCACCCAACCCGGTGTTTCCCTGAAATTAAGGCGTAGCTGGAGATACAAATGCCAGCCCAATCAGCCTGACCCTGCCCTACCTGCCATTACAGAGTAGCCACTGAACAAGTTTATTTTCCAGTTAGGTCTTATTTGAGGGGAAACACAGAATTAGATTGTTGGATGGATAGATGGATGGATGAATAGATGGATGGATGAGTGAATGAATAAATGGACAGACGGGTGGATGGACAGACAGACCAATAGTAGAGTGCCTAACAGTGGATGGTATTTACTGTACTCTATACATATGCATGTGCTTCCTGCATACGTGCATATGAACTCATGTCATCCTTGTGACAGCTGTGGGAAAGGAGGCTGAGACCTGTCTTACCATGAAGGAATAGGCTCCCATCACACTCACATCCACACAGCTCGTGTTGGTGGAGCTGGGGCCCAAACCAGGCTGCCAGGTTCCACACACCTCAGGGAGAGGTGACATGAGAGGATGCCCATGCCGGGCTGGGGACATCTGCAAACCTGGTAGCACACGGGCAACAGACACCAGTGTTGACGTCTGGCAGCAGGCTCCCAGTCAGCCTTGTGGGGGCCAGCAGAGTGGACTCAGCAGTGGGAAGGAGTTGGTAATCACTTTGCAGAACTGTCGTGAAGGTCATGTGAGATAACGTAGATAAATTCCACCCGCTTGTTACCACCTCGCTTCAGCTCCCCAAGCATTGAGGGCCATGAAAGAGTTGGCAGTTATAAACGTTGTGTTCTGTGATAGAGATCAACATGAATGTCGCAGCATTTCTGTGTCAATACCCTACTCTGGGGGCAGAGAGAGACTCCTGGGGAGAGGCCCCACCTCCCTTCTGTACCTGTCCCGGCTCCCAGTTTTTCAGGACTTGTCCAAACGAGGACACTCTAACTCAGAACCCTACATACTTAGTGGCCTGGGCCACTCTGAATTCCGCTTGTACTTCCAGCTCCACAGCCTCCCGACCTCTCCCTCCTGCAGACACAGGAAGCCTTCCTGGAGCTAAACAACAATAGTAGGGATGAAGTGAAAAGCCTCAGAGGGTGGGTTTATCTAAAAAGTGCTAAAACTTCTGTACCTTTTAACTTCCGAGTTAGGACCACTTTTGTTAAAAGCCGTCTGGTGGGGGAAATAACATCATGTGAGCATGTTGGGAGGAAGTGAGTCTTTCCTGTTTTGAAATTGGAAAACAGAATGTCCTGACATCTCTTGACGTTGTTTCGAGGTGACCAACTCTGAAAGGGGTTTCTGGATCCGGAGAAAGCATCCATGCATCTTGCTTGTTGGGGTTTGGTTCCTTGCTGTCTAATAGACCCTACCTGTGTATTTGGTCATAGTAACTCGGTTTCCTTTTTTATATTTTAGATGGAACAGATTAAAAGGGCCAATAAACTGTTCACCAACGACTGTATCTTTCTGAAGAAAACCTTGAGCATCCCAGTTAGATCAGAGCAGCCTTTGGTGTTCAATGGACTGAGCTCCTCGGATTCTCCAGAAAGTGAAGCTGGTGACAGCAGCTTTCCTCCTTCAGAGGAGCTGGGGGTAGCGGGGGATGAGCTTCTGCCTCCCAGTCCCCAGGGACCAGCCCCTCGGCCTGTGCAGCCCAAGGAGGTGTCAGCCAGAGACTTCCTGGACAGAGTGGACCTGCAGATCAAACTGTCCACGCAGGCAGCCCAGCGGCTGAAGCAGGAGAGCAGGTAAAAGTGCCTGGTACCAGCGCCAGGGGCTGGAGAAGCAGCCTGAGAAGGCCCAGAGGAAATTTTTTTTTGAGACAGGGTCTCACTATGCATTTCAGGCCGGCCTCGAACTCATTGTGTACCCCATGCTGGCCTCAAATTTAGGCAATCCTCCTGCCTCACCCTGCCGAGTGCTGGGATTATAGGCGTGTGCCACCACTCCCACCTTTTCCTGATGAAAATTTTAATTTAGAAAATCTAAGGCTGTGTGCTGCCACAGTGCTTTTGCCTCTGTTATTTGCTATAAAAAGTTGGCTTCTCTGCAAACATAGCAACTCCAGCAGCCAGCAATTCCGGATGGCAGTCTAGCATCTCACCGGCACCTTCCAGGAACAGCCTGCCCTGGGGGAGAAACTATGCTCTTTATAAAATCTGCCCCAGATCTCCACTGTTTGTTGCCAAGTGTCTCCTACATAACATTTCTTCTGAACTTTTAAAAAATAAATTTAGTACTAGAGCAAAGCTTTTTCTCTCCTGTAGACTGGCTGACCTTCCTTTATCATTCCAAGAGGGCACATCCTGCTATATTTTCCTTTTCTCCCTGGCTCCTGGGAAGCTTTTAACTAAAATTGATCCTCAGGTTTATCTATTAATATCTCTTATGGGGCCGGGGATTTAACTCAGTGGTTCCACAGCCTGCCTTGCAAGCACAATGTCCCGAGTTCAATCCCTGGTACCAAAAAAAAAAAAATCTCTTATGGGTAGCATGTTGATTTCCTTTTCCTTTCCTTAGTGCTTATTCTTGTTTCTGTGTTAGTCATCCTCCTATTTGTATGCCCTGTGTTAGAAGTACCTTAAATCTTCTTGAGACAGAGGTAGAATATATAGAACACATAAACAAACATAAATATGAATATAATTTAGTATAAATTTAATATATATTGGAATACTATATAAACAAGTGCCATTACTTATTTCAAGGACTGAGACACCAATAAGATGGACACAGTGAGGTGCATCTTAATAAGTATTTGTCTTTGAAGGACTTTCAAGGCATTGGCAAGTAGACACCAAGCTATATGACGTATACGTGTTTTTCAGAATAGAGTTTTAAACACCGATGTGTGCTGAATTTCTCTTTTGCAGAGATGAACAAAGTCCCTATGCGACCTCCCTTTATCACAGTTAGGCGATTGGTCTTCGTGCTGACCAGGACGAGGAGAAGGCTGGAGCCTAAAGAGCCTGAGCTCGAAGACTCGGGAGAGCTGGGGTTCCCTCAGCTCACTGAGAGCCGCAACGCTGCCGCCTGGTTCCCGCTCCTAGACTTCTGTCTTTACCGTGGTGTGGTAGCAGCAGTGTACCTAAACTCACTGCTTTGGTAGGTGGTAGTAGTTTCTAGCCTTGCTTTTATAATTGCTGGTCTATGTCAGTCCTAAGAGGTTTATGTATTTATGCCGAAGACAATGTTTATCTCCTGATAAAACCCAAATTTTGTGAAAACCCCAGAGGCTGATTAAGTAATGGCTGATTTCTGTGTGTTTACAAGAAATGCTATATAAATATTATATTTCAATATGTATTACATATTCTGTATTCATGGAAAGAACCAAATTTTGTCTGCTATTTTGTAAAACTGAACTACAAAAGTCTGAATGAGAAAATAAACTATGTTTTCATATTTGAGTCTTCCTTTTTTTTCTCAGTGATCAGATTCATCATAGGGTTTGTGCCTGTACCTGATATGTCTTGCTTCTTCCTTTTCTCCCATCTCCCCTTCGACCTCTCTTCTCCTCCTTATTTACAAAAATTTTGTTTCCATTTTTCCTTCTATTCTTTTTTCTTGTCCCTTCCTGTCCCCCTCCACCTTCCCATGTTCACCTTTTCATCTGAACATTTTCTTCCCATTTCCTTATATGTATTATGCATTTTGGTCCTTATTTCCACTTTCAGTTTCTCACACCAGAGAAACATGTATTTAAACATGTGTGTACATTTATCTCACTTAAGAGTATGGTATCAAGATGGATCAATTTACCTAGAAGTATCTCAAGTTTATTATTTTTTATGGCAGAGTACTACTCCATTGTATAAAAAAACCACATCTTTTTTATCCATTTGTCAGTTGGTGGGAATTTGAGCTGTTTCCAAGATTTAGCTATTACAAACTGTGCCGCTATAAATATGGGTGTACGTATATCACTGTGGTATACTTTTAATTCTTTCAGACAGATACCAAGAAGGAGAATTGCTGGGTCAAATGGAACCTGTAATCCTAGTTTTTTGAGGAATCTCCACACTGATTTCCACAGTGGTTGCACCAGCCTGCACTCCCACCAGCAGTGGAGCAGGGTTCCTCTTTCCTGACAGCACCGCCAGCATTTGTTATTGGTTGATTTCTTGATAGCAGCCATTCTTTCTGGGGTAAGGTGGAATCTCAGCGTTGTTTTAATTTGCATCTTTTGAATAACCAGTGACAGTGAACATTTTCTTATATATTTATTTGGTGTTGTACTTCTTCATCTGAGAAATGTCTGTTCATTTCAAGATGACCATTTTTGCATTGGGTCTTTAAACTTAGGGGGTCTGGTTTTTTAAAGTTCTTTATATATTCTAGATAGTAGACCTTTGTCGGGGGAACTGCTGGCAAAAAATTTTTCCCGTACTGTGGGTTGTCTCTTCACACTGTTGGTGGTTTCTCTTGCAGTGCAACAGCTTTTTAATAAGATGAGATCCTAGTTCTTGATATTTTGTATTTCTTGTGCGATCAGGGTTATGTTCATAAAGTCTTTGCCTACACCAGTGTCTTCAAGTGTTCTACCTATTCTGTCTTCCACCAGATTTAGTGTTTCTGTTTTAATATTTAGATATTTGATCCACTTTGTTTTAGTTTAGTGCATGGTGAAAGATATGGGTCTAGTTTCAATCTTCAGCATGTGGAAAGCCAGTTATTCCTGCATCATTTTAATAAGAGGCTATCTTTCTTCCAGTGAAGGTGTTTGGCCTCTTTGCCAAAGATAAGGTGACTGAGTGTGTTTGGAGTTCTTTCTGCATCTTCTAATCTGTTCTATTGATCCTCAGGTCTGTTTTGCCAGTACCATGCTGTTTTTATCACAGTAGCTTTGCAGTATAATTTAAAGTCAGGGATTGTGATGCCCCTTGTCTTGCCTTTGAGGCCCAGAATTGCTTCTGCTATTCTAGGTCTCTTCTGGTTCCAAATGAATTTTAGGATTGTTTCCTCTAATTCTGTGAGATATGCTATTGGTATTATTGATTGATTGATTGATTTTTGGTATGGGGGATTGAACTCAGGACCTTGTGCTTGCCAGGCAGATGTGGTGCCACTGAACTACATCCTCGACCCTGCTATTGGTGTTTTGATCAGGATTGCATTAAATCTGTATAACAATTTTGGAAGTATGGCCATTTTTACTATATTGGTTCTTCCTACCCAAGAACAAGGGATATCTTTCCATTTTCTGATATCCTCTTTGATCTCCTTTTTCAGAGTACAGTACTTTTCAATGTAAAGTTCTTTTACATCCTTCATTAGATTGGTTCCTAGGTATTTCATCTTTCTGGATGCTATTGTGAAAGGTGTTGTTCCCCTAATTTCTCTCTCAGTGAGTTTACTATTTGTGTACAGGGATGCTATTAATTTTTGAGAGTTGATTTTGTATCCAGCTATGCTACTGAATTTGGTTATTAAATCTAGAAGTCTTTTGGTGGAGTTTTTGGGGTCATCTATGTATAGTATCATGTCATCTGCAAATAATGATAATTTAAATTCTTCCCTTCTCATCTTTATTCTTTTTATTTCTTTCTCTTGTCTAATTGTTCTGGCTAATGTTTCCAGAACTATATTGAATAAGGGTGGTGACAGTAGACAACCTTGTCTTGTTCCTGATTTTAGAGTGAAAGCTTTCAGGTTTTCTCCATTTAATATGATGTTGGCTGTTGGTTTATCATAGATGGCTTTTATCAGATTGAGATAAAGACCATCTATTCAAATTTTCTGAGGGTTTTTATCATGAATGTGTTGGACTTTGTCAAATGCTTTTTCTGCACCTATTGAGATGATCATATATGGTTTTTGTCCTTGGCTCTGTTAATACAGTATATTGCATTTATTAATATGTATACATTGAACTATCCCTGTATCCCTGGGATGAATCCTACCTGGTCATGGTGTATATAATTTGCTGCATTCTATTTGTCAGTGTCTCTTAGAGGATTTTTGCATCTATGTTCATTAGGGAGATTGGCCTATAGTTCTCTGTTTTGGTTGGATCCTTCTCTGGTTTTGGTATCAGGGTAATGGTTGCTTCGAGGAATGATTTTGGGAGTATTGATTCCCTTTCAATTTCATTAAAGAGTTTGAGAAGTAGTGGCATTAGGTCTTCTTTAAATTTATTGTAGAATTCAGCAGTGAATCCATCAGGGCTTGGGCTTTTCTTTGTTGGTGAGTTTTTAATTACATCTTCAATTTCATTGAGTAATATTAATTTGTTTAGAATTTTTATATCTTCTTGATTCAGCTTTGGTAATTCATATGTATCTAGGAATCTGTCTATTCCTTCTGTGTTTTCCATCTTATTAGAATACAGGTTCTCAAAGTAGGTATTGATAATCTTCTGGATTTCTGCAGGATCTGTTGTGATTTCGCCCTTTTCATTCTTAATTATGTGGATTCGAGTCTTTTTTTTTTTTCCTTTTTTTGATAAGTTTTGCTAAGCGTTTGTCAATTTTCTTTAATCTTTCAAAGAACCAACTCCAATTCATTGATTCTTTGTATTGATTTCTTAGTCTTCATTGCATTAATTTCTGCTCTAATCTTTGTAATTTCCTCCCTCATATGAGCTATGGGCTTGACTTTTTCTTCTTTTTCTGAAGTTTGAGGTTCAACGTTAGGTTGTCTGTTTGAGCTTGCTATGTTTTTCTGATACGGGAATTCAGTGCTATTTCCCTCACAGGACTGGTTTCATTGCTTCCCATAAGTTCTGGTATGTTGTATTGGCATTATTGTTTAGTGGTAGAAACTATCTAATTTCTTCTTTAATTTCATCTGCGAGCCATTAGTTGTTCAGAAGGGTGTTGTTTAATTTACATGTGTTTATGCAGTTCTTGTGATTTCTTTCGCCATTGATTTCCAATTTCATTGCATTATGGTCTGATAATATGCAAGGGATAATTTAAATTACTTTGCATTTACTTAACCATGTTCTATGAGCTAGTATGTTGTCTATTTTGGAGAATGTCCTGTGTGCAGTTGAGAAGAATGTGTATTCTGATGAGGGGTAGAATACTATCTAGACATCTACTAAGTCTGTTTGTTTAAAAATTTACTTCAGTTCTGATTTTTTTTGTTGATTTTTTGTCTAGTTGATCCATGTGTGACAGTGGGGTATTGAGGTCTCCTATTCCAATTGTATTAGTGCTCATTTGATTTTTTATGTCTGTTAATATTTGTTTCATATAGTTAGGTGTGCTGGTATTTGGTGCATATGTATTTATGATTGTTATTTCTTCCTCTTGGATTTTTCCCTTTACCATGATGTAGCAATCTTCTTTGTCTCTCTTAATCAATCTTGGTTTGAAATCCACTTTGTCTCCAAATAGAATAGCTACCCCTGCTTTTGTCTAGGTTCCTGTCCCATGGACTATTGTTTTCCATCCTTTGACTTTCAGTCTGTGAATTTCTTTTTGAATTAAATGTATTTACCACCTCAGAGAGTCCAGGCGGGTGGGTTTTTGAATTGTTCTACCTCATTCCTCTCTAGGCTTGCCTCTGGTGAGCTGGATGTTTGGGGTTGCATCTTACTTAGGTGTCTTCTCATTTTCTTTCTTTCTTTTTCTTTTTTTAGTTTAATTCCTGTGATGATGCTTGTAAATTGCTTATGGCAAGTAACTTTATTGCTGGTATTTAGAACCCTTAGGAAATGACTACTTCTCAGAGATGTCTTGCAGGTGTAGCTGGATTTTGGGTTTTGAGTCTGTTGGAAGATCCTACCTCTTCAATTTATTGGGAATGAGAAGTTGCTGCCTATTTAGACTAGCCCCTGTGTTTTTTGGCACTGGTCTATACTATTGTTTACAATCCTTAGGCAATCTCAGTTTTGGGTTACCAGGAACAATAACTGATTAGAACAATTATGTCACCTTCACTAAAGTAATACAATCAGCAATAAAATAGCATCAAACATAGCCTAGAAAATGACAAACTGTAGTAAGCATTAATTTGCTACCTTTAACCATATGAACTAGATAGTGGTTATATAAAATAAACTAAAACAAACTAGAAAATTGTATACAATAAATATGCCTTTGTCATGGTGATTTTACCCTCGAGGGAGAAAATTTAAAAGAGGTGAGGGGGGATAGAGAAATAGAGGAAGAAGAAGAAGAAGAAGAAGAAGAAGAAGAAGAAGAAGAAGAAGAAGAAGAAGAAGAAGAAGAAGAAGAGGAAGAGGAAGA